GGCGAGGGGGGGGGGCTTATATTCATAAATAACACAGACAAAAACACGTGCTGGGTACTTTGGACATTTTATTCACAGCAATATTGTCATTTAGAGGAGTTGACAAACAGACACGCACACGTTGCCAGTATACAAGATAATGAATGTGATTGTGAGGCATTCTGGTGACAACAATCAGTGCACAGCACGCTCTCCTCCACTTCCACCTCACATCAGAAGCTATGTGTCCAGTTTCTACCCCCCCCCCCTCTCTTTCCCTTCAACAATCAGTATAGAGCACGCTCTCCTCCACCTTGACCTCGCACAAGAAGCTATGGATCCAGTCCATATCTCTGTAAGGATTAAAGTTACACTGCATGTCGTTCATCCGGATGCCCGGCGTGCCGCGAAAGTTCTTCACCAGGGCCAGGCAGTCCTGGTCCCCCCTCAGGTTATCCGGCACCGCCCCGCCGGGCACCCAGTCCAGCACACCCGCCGGCCCCCCGCCCACCCGGTTCACCCACACGCCCTCCTCCGCCTCGTCCGTCGCCCCTAGCAACACGATGGCCTTGTCCGAGAGGATGGGCAAGGTGAAGTTTTTCACGAACTCGTACTCTTCTTCATCGTCGATCTGAGCTAGGATCCCGCCCAGCCCTCGACAAGCCGGCTCGGCCACTAGATACGTGGAGGGTGAGTAGCTAGGTAGGAAGTACGTGGACCCGTTATACACCCCGGACTCTGTGTACAGAGTTTGGACCAAAGCAGATGCCACGGCGGAGTCACTCCTTTTTCTGCAACTACCAGACTCCCCAGCCCCACTGGAAGAGGAGGAGGAGGAGGAGGAGGAGGATGGGGATGAGGAGGAGGAAGAGGAGGAGGAGGGCGTGGCAGCGGCAGCGGCAGTCAAGCTATCCAGCTGGCCGCTAAGGTCCCTCAACGCCTGCGCCAGCGTGGAGCTGGTGGGTCGTGTGGATCTGACGTAGACCCTGCTGAGCCGGAGTCTCCCAGCCTGGGTGCGGGCCACACACACATAGTGCACACAGCCGTCTGACCACCCAGGGTACATCACAGTCAGGCTGAGGAACGAGTCCTGTCCCGGCGTGTTGAAGATGACCCCGGTGGCGGTGGTCTGGTCGTCCAGCTGGTCAGTTCTCTGGACTTCGGGTCCCTTGGTCAGGTCGATGTAGGCGAGGCGCTCTCCGGAGCTGAAGAGGGGCTTATGTTTCCTCACGCTCAGTACTTCGAGTTTCTCCTCCTCGCCTGTGTGTGGGCGCGCGGGGGGGGAGACAGACAGAGAGACAGAGAGACAGAGAGAGAGAGAGAGAGAGAGAGTGTGTGTGGGGGGGGGTGGTGGAAATAATTATGAACGTATAGTTTAGAAGATTGTCTCTTGAGTGTGAGAATGTGTGTGCTGGGAGAGTTGGTATGTACATGATAATGATGATGATGAAGATCATGATGATGAAGATGATGGTGATGATGATGATGATAAAGATGATGATGATGATGATGATGATGATGATGATGA